CCCCAAAACCCCAAAACCCCAAAACCCCAAAACCCCGGAAATTTTGGGGGAAATTGAAATTTTGATAGGAAAGTTAGATCGACATAATATAAAAATATTATGAGAGATGCTTAGATGTATGTTTATTCTCAACTTGTAATATTTAGCTTGAGACTATTTCCTTCTTGACTAATATCTTCACTCGGATCACTATCTTCACTTCAAGTATCTTGGCCCCAAAAATTAGGATCAGTTTCTGAATAATCTTGTCCTTCATTTTTGGATTTTTGAGGATATTCCATTTCTTCATCAGCTTCATCACTGCTTTCTGAAAGTTCTTCACCTTCGCTGTCAGTCTCCTCTACCGAATTGCCTTGTTTTTGGTCACTGTTCAAGTTTTGAGCACTGGCTTGTTTTAGAGGTTCATCCTGTGAACTATCCTGTGAGCTATCCTGTGAACTATCCTGTGAACTATTTAGTGAATCATCCTGAGAGATCTCTGATTCCCATTGATATCTAGGAGGACTGTCTCTTGATCTACTTCTTCTGCCAGCATCTTGAGATGGCTCTCTCTTTATCCTCTTTTTACTCAAAAATTTTCCGCCATAACCAAGCTGTTGAAACCTATATTCTATCATTACCCGATCAAGTGGTGTGAATGGCCCATCAAGGTTCTTAGCATCTTTGCCGTAATAGATATGTCTCAGCTCGAGATCGACAAGTTCTTTAACATCTGGAGTGATTAGCATTCCTTCAGCTCTTATTTCTTTAAGCATATCGATAACTCTGTAGAAATGCCTGGCTTCATCATACGGCCTTAACTTCGGGGCATCAGCTTCGTTTAAAGGATGAGGAGTTGGCAAATAGTTTGAAGATTCTGACTGAGATTTAGACTCCATTGTTTTAAAAAAATTGAGCGATCCTTCATCATGCTCGTTGGAACCTAAAATTAGTGAGGGTGTCAATTTTTTAACCCAGAGAATTAATCTGAAAGATATTTCTTACTCTTTGATTCTTTATGCTCTTCGTTCTGTATTAAAGTTAGTGGAAATTTTGAATTTTTTTACATATAGGCAGATTTTAGTCAATAGTAAAGTCATGACTAAAGGAAAGATTTGGAGCCAATTTGGCCTAGAAAATAAGATATTGACCAATAATCTGGTGGATAAGCTTGAATATTTAAGGAAGATATGACTACCAGATTTCGTCTTAAACTCTCCAAAAATTTTACTATGAATGATGAAAACCAATAACCCCTTAAAAAATGTAAAAATACAATTTTATCAAAACTGCACACATCTCTTGCCTATCTTACGAGACTCACCTTATACCTTCCTTCACAGCCGAAACCATTCCAATAATCTCTTCCCTTCCGTCCTTCCCGGGACTTCAGTTCACTTCCTCTAACCAGGGGTCTAAAATTTCACTAAAACTTTACCTTAACTGCTCTATTCCAGAGTCATTGCTTTCGTCAATAGGAGCAGACTTTTTAAATTTATTTTGCTCCTTTTTGTCTGTGCTATATTCCTTGATGGGAAACGTTTCTCAATCAGAAAACCCGCCCAAAGCTTTAGCTCTAGATCCAGGGTTAGTACCAGGGATTACGTAAGACTGATAACCCTTCATTTGTGATAACATTTCTTTAGAATATCTAGGGGTAAATTTCCCCCTCGGTTTCATTTTAGAACCAGTCTCTTTCCTTCTCTTCCTCTCTTGCTCGCTCTTCTTGCTGTTTTTCTTCTTATTATAAATGATTTCTTTTTCAGTGTTTTCCATTAAACTTAATTATTTAAGACTTCTATTATATCATGCTTAATTGGGGTTTTGGGGTTTTGGGGTTTTGGGGTTTTGGGG